TGATTGCTGGAACAATCGGTTATTGACAAAAATCTATGCCGATAGTTTTCCGGGTTGCGTCCATTGCTGGAGCGGCTGAGAAGGGTCTGCTGTCATTACACAGTGCGAGAGCGGCCTCTAGTGGTTGAAATCACTGACAGCACGTGCTATTTGTTTAGACATGTGATACTGCACGCTGAACAGAGCGGGAAACTTCAGACGCGGATTTAAATGCAGCCGACAGAAAATCCTGCCGCGCCACAGAGCGCCATTCACATAGTTTTCCATTAAATTACATTATATTGGTCCCGAATCGTTGTTAATGTACATAATGAATTGTGTATTGTGCATTTTCAGCAAAACGTTTGTCTTTCTGTGGCTCTAATAAAGTCTGTGTGCTTCATTTATAGAGCTATAATATAGGTCGTGTTTTCTCTTTCCGTTTGCTCCGTTTTTTAAACACCGAACTTCAAACTCATCCATGCCAAATTGTTCATTCTTGAAGTAAACTTGTGTCCGTTTGGTGATTTGAAACACGTCCGCTGCTCGAGTTGAACGCGACGCGTCCGGAGTGTGTGTGATACCGGTGAGTTCTCCTAGACTCAGCACTGCGCTTTTATTTTGATTAGATAATCATCAAGTGTTCAAGAATAGAAGCAGTTAAAGTGTGAGAGTATACATACAATATCCATATGTATATAATTTTAATGCTATGGCCTTTGTGTATATATTTAAAGATGTGCATCTTTAAACATGATCAGTTGAAATTAAATGGTAACACTTTAAAATAAGAGTCCATTTGTAGCATTAAGATTAATGAAAGCTGTGTAAGTATTGTTCCTTGTTAGAGTGCGTTAATTTCAAAATTTACTATTACTATTATTATTATTTTTTTACTACTACTACTACTACTACTAGTATGGTTCAGTACTGTTTTTGTTAATAAAGCACTATTTTTGTTCAGTATCAATTTTAAAACTATCGGTTAATTAATCGGTATCGGCCAGTGTGGTTCAACCTAGCTATCGGTACCGGCAAAATCCACTATCGGTCGACCTCTATTAATTACATATATGTATATAAATTTATGTCTTTAAATCTGTAAATCAGATAATAAATCCTTCGAAATTCGTTTTCTAGTGATGATGAGATGCAGACAGTTTAGCAAGCATAAGAAGGTAAATGTTGAGGACATATTGTTGTATGATTCTTGAAGTGATGTCTGTTTGACCCACTTTAGTCCAACAGCACAACAATCAGTCTTATCTCAGAAAGCACGCTGGATAAAGCTGCCCCCACAGCCTTGCATTTCATTAGCAGAGCATTTCTACATTTTACTGAGGGTCGTGAGCGCACACATAAACACACACATTTGCACCGAACAGAATCATACGCACATACTTGCACACATGCATCTTAATTCAGCACTTCTGTGATATTTGACTTCTCTTTCTCTCACACGTGTGTTACAGCATTCGCTCTCTCACTTGACCCTCCTGCCGTCTGTCTGCTAAATAGCATCTGACCTTCTCTGATCTCTATTTTTTGGAGATGGAGAGGGAGCGAGATAACAGTGTTTCAGCTTACACAAGTAATTATGAAATTGGAGGAAAGGTATTCATCTTTGACATTTAATGATCGCTCCCTTTTGTTTTTCAGTAGGTCATGTTGAATTATTGTGTGTCTGACAGAGTTTAGTGGACATTTCGAGTGTGTGGGAGAGAAAAACTGTTTGGCTACATATAAATGGCTCACGTAGAACACATGGGATTAAATGGTACCCATGCACTCTGTAAGCCCACTTTGGACATTTCACATTTGCAATTAAATAAAGCTAATTATTAATTTGTTCCATCGTCTAGCACTAACGATGAGGGATAGTGATAGATTTAACCTTATATTATCATGAAGAGCATCTTTCTTTTAAGAGCACAAGTCAGCAGCACTACTGTACATGCATTTGTGTATAAAATTAGTTCATTTCCTTAAAAAAAATCTTTATTAATGTTACTTTACATTAATACATTTATGTTTAACCAAGTAGGAAAGGACATAATCTGTTCATCAGCTATTAAACAAATTGTTTAATTGAATTTAATTAATAATTATTAAATGATTTATTATCTTATCTGTGTCAGTCAGAATTTCATTATTACATTGCTAGAAATTTCTGTAGTTCAGCTCTAAAATATTTATTCATAATTCTGTTAACATTTACTCACCCACATGTTCCAAACATGTATATTAAGATATCTTAAAGATGAGTAAAGGATGATAGAATTTTATTTTATTATATATATATATTTATTTTTTTATTTTTTTGGGTGGACTATATTTTCCTATGCATTAATGGCAAAGTCATGGAAAAGCTAAATGGTCAAAGGGTGTAGAAATTCTGTAGCTCTTTTGCAACAAGCTCTGTTTCTCTCTCTCCCTCTTGTTTGTATTGTCGCTCACTCCCTCAGAATATCTTTACAGAACTGAATGAGTCATCTTTTGTCTGTAGATTAGTGTGTGTCTGTGTGTGTGTGTGTGTGTGTGTGTGTGTGTGTGTGTGTGTGTGTGTGTGTGTGTGTGTGTGTGTGTGTGTTTGTGTGTTGTAGTCTTAGAGACCTTAAGTTTTATTTAAGGGCCTTTGATAGCAAGGCCCTTAAATCAATCAATCTATCTATCTATCTATCTATCTATCTATCCATCTATCTATCTATATTCAGAGCTTATGATAGTTTCTAACCCTGAACTCAACCCTCGCACAAAGCACTTTTCTGCATTTTTACATTTTCATTAAAACATTATTTAATATGTTTATTAAGCTCTTTTCCAATGGGGGGCCATTGGCTGCTTCCCACAATGTAGGTGATTTCAAGTTTTACTATCCTTGTGGGGACATTTGGTCCAGACAATGTAGGCAAAACCTCTCTCTTTTTCCCTCCCTCCCTCCCTCCCTCAGCAGAGCACACAAACTTCTGTCTCGGTCAGATGGTTCCTCCTTTATGAGTTTTTGCTTCCAGGGAATGCAGCGAATCCTGCGGGTTTTTATATCTTCTTTTTAATCCCTCCATTCTCTCTTTATCATTTTTTCCTGTGTGCTACAGTTCGTATCTTTCTGTTTTCCTCTGTTCCCCTGTGCAATGGCTTTGCTTTCCTGTGCGCTACCTATTTTTACGCACCAATTTTTTTTGTTTTGTTTTTCTGCTTTCCTTTCCATTTTAGATTTATATTTATGTCTTACTTTGCTTAATGTCTTCTCGCTCTCTCTCTCGTCTCGTTCTGATTAAGGGTGAGCTATAGTCTAGCTGATTAACTCTGACAGTAATGGACAATTTTCTTAATAGTGCCCACTACTGTGTGTGCGTGTAAGGGGAGGATCTCAAGGCTTATGAGATCTTCCTCTGTGTGACTAGTCTAGTTTTTATTTATTTTTTTTTTTCATGATCTGACTCTGCTGATCATACCTTTTATAACTTGACAATTATTATACATTTAATTATTAATTAATGTGGAAACACTTGAATACTGAGGTTTGTTTGTATGCTGCATCCAAATTAACTTTTTGGCAACACCTACCATTTGTGAAAATTTGCAAAGCAATAATATTTTTTACCCTGCATGAAACATAATTTTGCATTATTATTATTATTTAGCTGTCAATTGCAGCATCCTATATGTGCAATCTGTAAAATGGCAGCTCATTTTGTTTCTCATGTTTTTGGTTTAATGGCGCAATGTGAGGATTATGACACATGCTACTGATAGAATTCCATGCAAAAAAAATAATAAATACATTTTCATAGATACACTTACGATTGTAAAATAAGGTAAAAGTTGTTAGAAGATGTGGACAGTCATAGGTTGGAATCCATGCGAAGCATGATGGTAGAGCCACTACTTTAAAATAAGGGTTACCACAATCAAATATTCAGTGTGTGAGTTGTTGGTAATGGATGAATCTGTCCAAGCATATGGATCCATAAAGAAAAAAATAATGAGAATGAGTGCCTTCAGGTTTAGTGTTAAAATTTGACAGCAGGTGTCTGGTCAGGTTGCAGGGTCTCATTTATGTGCCAGGCTTGGTCTTTAATCCCAGTGCAGACCTCTGTTCTTGTCATCATTTCAACCACATAACCCAATGAATCCTAGGTTGAGAGAGAAAGAGATATTGAAAGTAGGGCCCTGTTTAGACATTTAGACGTCACATGCTGCACTGTTAACTTTTAATTATTTATTTATTTTAATGGTTTAATTGTTATACTGTAATGTTTTAACTGAAATGTCCTTGTTGAATCATGCAGACACAGACCCATAATTCAATTTTAAATTTATTCTTGGCATGGGACATGGATTTTAAATGGTCATTATATGTCTTTTTTTTTTTTAGCCAATTGCCTATGTTGGCCAAAACAACACAATAGTGTAGGGAAAAAGAAAAAAACATTATACATTATCTCCACTGAGTCAAATATGATTTGAGGAGAGTGGCTAAAAAAAACAAAGATTAGAGTGGGATACATTTTGTGTGAAAGAGAAGAGAGTTTTGTTACATGAATTATGAGGACATATAGTATGTTCTGTAATGAGAATTATATGATGACAGTTTTTTCACAGACAAAAGGCTTTCAGCCACAGTCTAAATGGAGCCAGTCATGACTCACTGCTGTAAAAAGAGACTGAGACGCACACACACACTGAATCTTATTTGGGACGCTGGGCTGAACTCTGTACGGTGTGCGTGTGCTCACGTCAACAGCGAGTAGACTGATTTTTCTAACTCCCATTTGTTGGTTTTGATAGGCTCCCTGCCAGATAGCTTTGATTGGAGCAGCTTTCACTTCAGCACTAGCATCTCTTTCCTTGTCTCTTTCTTTTCTTTCATGTCCTGACAGACATCAGCGGCACAACCGCTTCGATTACAATGACAGACTCTCCATGCAATCTCTCCATCTACTCTGCTCTCTTTTTCCTTTTTATACTAATAGTGCTCACACATCAGCATGTTTTGTTTTTGTTTTTTTTTGGTATAGGACTTCCTGACAGATCTGATGATGTCGGAGGTGGATCGGTGCGGGGAGAACGAGCACCTGATCTTCAGAGAGAACACGCTGGGCACTAAAGCTATTGAAGAGTACCTCAAACTGGTCGGACAGAAATACCTGCAAGACGCACTGGGTAATATTAAACAGACATTTCCAAAGTTTATTTTGTCCTAAGTTCTCCGTATTCATTTTAGATAAGATTCAACAACCGTGAAAACACACACACACAAACAAACATGCACACACACACCTGGACACTTTTGCTGTTGGCTTACTCTGTGTCCGATAAGGCTTGTGTTTATTAATACCGTCATAGTTTAGGAATAAAATGTCTGGACTAGCAATTTATCTGCAAAACAAAAATACACGCTGCAAATTTCACACCGTATATAAATATCGACTTTGGGCAATCAAATAAGCGAACGTGTAAATGTGAGTGAATACACCAAAGAGAGTGAATCTCTCTTTAGATTTGCATTAAGAAACCATTTGGTGGTGCTGAATAATGTATAGTTGTTTTTCTTAGATAAATGTGACTCGTGAAGTGCTGCTAAATTATTAAATGGTTCACCCCTAAAGACTGACTAAGTCCCTCAGACATCATAGCAAGAGAGGGACAGCAAAGAGAGTGGATTACACCACATGGTTACATAAACAGCACATATGCACCAGGGACGAACCTTTTGGTCATTTCATCTACTCAAGAGGTAGAGTACTTAAGTGCTCTCTTTTTCAGATCGGATTGCAAGATACCCCTGAAATCAATGGCTTAACCTATCACTAAGGCCCTTTTGGTGTATAGTTACTAGTTTTTGAACGATGAGAAATGCTGTGCAAAGTTTGTTGACTTTTTTATGAACATAATAAAAGAATACATTCGTGCAAAACTGGACAGACAGCTAGCACACAAACACACATATGTACACAGACATATGTTAAAATAATGCACAAAAATGTGTACACAGTTACATGATAATCCAATATCCCTAAGGGATTTGTGGTATTACATTTCTGCCATTAAATCTCTCATTGACAAATACTAAAAAGCCATCTATATGAGCTCAGAATGCACAAAACATACATGTTGTATGTTGTATATAATGGTAAATTGGTTTATTTTCAAGATGTGCTTTATTTTTACCATTGAAGAACTCTTGTGTTGCAGCAGATGTTGATGTTGGGCAGAGCAGGAAACATTTGATCTGCTTTTCAGAGTGACATCCAGCATGCTCTTCTGCTGGTGCACCCCACCAAACTGATTAGTTTGGTATTTGTGGCCTTGAATGAGTTTTCTGGCTTCTCCTCTGACCTTTTCAAACAATATGGGGTTTACCGTACAGAACTGCATGTAGTGAGATAATAGTGTGTGACAGTACTGTGATGTCAGCTGTATTCAACTGCTGGAATGGAATCGCTACTTCAACCATTTCCAACAATCATACTTAACTTAGTTATCTGTGTTCCCATTGCTGAAGTTATTTTACATTGTAATAACATTTCCCAATATCCCTGTTTTTACTGTATAACTGATTAAATAAATGCAGCCTTTGTGAGCATAAGAGGCTTACTTCAAAACATTTAAAAAATCTTACTGAACTGTAGTGTTTGTTTTCTGTTGGTCTGAAGTCTTGTAATAATGTGGCCACTGTTAGTCTCTAACAGGAAGATGAAGAACGAGGAGTCCACTTCCATTCTGGATCAGTTGGACGTCCACATGGTTTATGCTACACTAGTTTGATTTTTCCCTGATGCTTTCATGCGCAAACAGAACAGAGGGAAAATCGACCAGTACCTGCTCTGAGTCTCTGTGGAGAGGGATCTGGCTGTGCTGTTTGTTTGGGATCAACAAAAAGTTTATTGTATATTCCCAGGACAGGTTCTTTCATTAGTTCTGAGTCAGAAAACTTCAGAACTTTCACTAGTTGCTTCATAGTGGAAAGAGATTAGAATGGGGACGAGCTCTGGGGTGCTGATTTTCATTCTTGCTAATAATTGTGAGACGGTTCGTTTGAATGAAAGTTGATGGTGGTTCGTACGACAGGTTGCCTTGCTGACATTCAGGAATGCAAGCATTCTTGTGTGAAATATGGAATCATCTCAAGATTAATCAATAGATGACACCATTCTTTATTGATTTCCTGAAAAATACTATTTATGTTGAAAGAACTAGACTTTGCACAGGATGAATTTCAAAACGTCAGTGTCTTTAATGTATTTTCTCTTTCTTCCACTGTAGGTGAGTTCATAAAGGCTCTGTATGAGTCTGATGAGAACTGTGAGGTGGACCCATCCAAATGTTCATCTAGCGATCTAGCTGAACATCAGAGCAACCTCAGGATGTGCTGTGAGCTAGCCTTCTGCAAGATCATTGAGTCTTACCGGTAACTACTATGTGCTGTTGTTGCCAGTGATGCATTTTATTGCTCAGATGTGTTTTTGCTGCTTATTTTCTCAGTTATGTTTCAGTTAGGTATCAGCTTTATCTCAGGTGTTTCTCCTAAAATCAAACTAGAGAGACAATATATGAGTGTAGAGGTATAAAACGAAGCAGGGTAGATAAGCAATAATAATAATAATAATGAATGGGATAAAAGGATAATAAATAATTTGTGAAACCTCTTACCAGTAGGAATAACTGCACTTTTGTCATTTTGTCAGTTTTTTTTTGTTTTTTTTTGGTTTCCACTGAAATTAAATGTTGAACTCTCCACTCAACAGTGTGTTTCCACGGGAACTTAAGGAGGTGTTTGCGTCGTGGAGACAGGAATGTGGTAACCGAGGGCGACCAGATATCAGCGAGCGTCTTATCAGCGCCTCATTATTTTTGCGTTTTCTGTGCCCGGCCATCATGTCGCCTTCTCTCTTCAACTTGACGCAGGAGTACCCAGACGACCGCACTGCACGCACACTCACTCTTATCGCCAAGGTTACGCAGAACCTCGCAAACTTTACCAAGTAAGCATTTCATTTACTCCAGTGTGAGTGTGTGATTGAGTAAGGAGAGAGTGCTTTCATGTTTCATGATGGAGCTGACGAATGAGTTTAGAAATACCTTAGTTTGATAGCTTGTGATGTTGTTATGAGCACAAATACTATTCATAAGAATGAAATGAAATTAATAGATATGATTATAGAGTCATTAGCATGGTTAATTGAGTTATTAAACGCATCAACGAGTCATTCTTATTCCTGCTTTCTGTCAGGTTTGGTAATAAGGAGGAGTACATGTCCTTCATGAATCAGTTCTTGGAGCAGGAGTGGACCAACATGCAGCGCTTCCTGCTGGAGATCTCCAACCCAGAGACCATCTCAAATACTGCAGGCTTCGAGGGCTACATTGACCTGGGCCGTGAGCTCTCCACCTTGCACTCCCTTCTAGCTGAGGTGGTGTCCCAACTGGACCAGGTTAGCCTCTTCACCCTGTAGTTGGCTCCAGTTGATCGTTTTTGTAGTGTAAAGAGTTTCAGCAGGACTGCATTGTGCTGTTTCACTTGAGACCTGCATAAACTGCAAAAATCCTTTTCTAATCAGTATTTTGGAAAAATGTGGGTGGGGGGGACTATATTTCTTACAAAAAAAAGTCCCCAAATTTTTTTTTTTAAATGTTCAATTAAATAATATTTTTAAAATTGAGTATTTTATACACTTGTATAAAGTATAATATTAATATTAGTATTCATATTTAAGAAATGTCATGCGTTTTTGTTCTCAAGTAAGCTTTTGCAGTGATCATTTATTCGCTGATGGTCAGACATTCAGATTTCGCCATGTCTTCAGTGTAGTGTTTGAGGTTGAGTGGTATTGTCTAGTCAGGATAGCATTGTGACGAGGCAGGTCAGCACTTTGAGGCCTCAGAAGGTTCTAAAGTTGTGCTCCAGTTTTCAGCGTTCTTTGAGTAGGAGGACTGATGTGAGCAATTGCCTCCAGGCTGTAACAGTCAGACTTTAAAATCCTTAATTTTGTTGCTTTTAAGGTTCAGACCTTAGAAGATGTGTTCACCATGTGTTTGTTTCTTTATATCTTATTTTATACATATTTTTGGAGGAAATGATCTTCTAACCCTCCTCCTCCTCAAATGCTAAATATAGCCTAGCTTGTGTTTGCCCAGATTTTCCACACTAAGAGAAAACATCCAGTCAAAATGCGTTTAAACAAAGTTGCATTTATCTTCAGCCTGTGCCTGTATGCCGGTACACCACAGACACTGCCTACAGCTATACAAACATTACTAATTAAATTTGTAAATCTTGAATATTCTCATAGCAGCACTTTGTTGAATTATTCAGATCACGTTAGGTGGACATTCTCTGAAAGCTCGTGCCCTCTCAATGTTTGAGTTCTACATGGGAAGTCCATTAGTCCCTAAGGCTGCCACAGACTGATAGTGGTCAGACACAGTTGCCTTCTGGGATCCATGTGCATAAGAACTGTTAATTCTTAAAATAATTTGTAGCCATACATCCATGAACATGTTGTAATTATGAAACATAATTCTTATAAAGCCAGAAAGATTCAGCCAACCAGAATGTCACAGAATCAGCCAATTATCAAATATTTAAATCAGTCAAATTTGAATTTATCTAGGTCTTGTCTGTTCCATTATTTAATGTTTTTGGAAAAGATCAGTCTAAAAAAAACACTGTGCAGAAAGAGTGTCTCTTGCCATGTTTCTTCGTTTTCGTCACATGAATACATGAAGCAAGTTCGTTTCCACCAATTTTAATTGGGGCTCCATAAAGTTGTTATTAAACATAAATTTACACAATACAATGTAGTTCTAGATAAATTATCTTGGTGAGCATTATACACTACTGCTAAAAAGTTGGTAAGATTTTTAAATGTTTTTAAAAGAAGCCTCTTGTGCTCACCAAGCTGCTTTCATTTGATCAAAAATACAATAATTTTGTGAATAATTTTTGCAATTTAAAATAATTTTCTATTTTAATATTTTTTTAAATGTCATTTATTCCTGTGATGGGACAGCTGAATTTCTCTGATCTTCACTGTCACATTTTTTTTAAAGTTCAAAAGAGTGGCATTTATTTGAAATAGAAATAGTAGGTCTTTGCTTTCTTATTTGTTCAATTTTATGCATGTTTTCATTAAATCTTACTGATTCCAAAGTTTTGAACAATAGTGCATATGTGAGGTGTGCAAAAATATATGTCATTAAGTAAGTTTCATTTTACACAACTATTACTCAGAATTCACTCTTGAAAATACTTAAAACAGGACGTTTGCAGCTCAGGCTTTTATAAATCAGTCTGCAGATACAGCTGTCAGTTATGGCTAAACATACTTGGATTCATCTGCCTTGTGTGTGTATCGGTCTATCACTAATGTACTGTAGCGCTTTAGGGGGTAATTAGGCATTGTTGAGTGATGGATACACCATTTACATTTAAATCATTGTCTGATGCTTTTTTATCCAAAACAGCTTATAGTGCAGTGAAGTTATACTATACATTTTATGTTTTATGTTCTGTTGTCTTCTACCTCCATTCTCAGGGGGGCTAAAAGAGAGTTCTGCACAGATATAAGAGATCTTTGGGCTGTGTGTTCATTTTCAATGGGATCTTTCATCTATGTCCTCAGAGTGCTACCTCCAAGCTCGGCCCGTTACCTAGAATACTGAGGGATGTACATGGAGCATTAACAAACCCATTAAATGTACAGATGAGCATTCCTCCTGATCGTGTTCCCTCCCCTCCAACCCCTGGATGCAGCATCTCCAGTGGATTACAAAAGATGGCCATCGACAGCGACTTACCAGGGTAAGCCATGAATCAGATCCACCGCATCAAATTGTTTAAACTGTAACCAATCAGAATCAAATATGTCCATATTTGTACATGGCTGTGCAAAAAAACATGCTGTAGATTTCATGATGAATAGGTATTCTGACAATTCAGCTTCAAGCTCAGTGTTACTTCAGGCAATGACACAAAGCAGTGAAGTACAGCTATATTGCATACGTACTCATCGTTATCTGTCACTTTCAGCCACAAAGACTGTCCTCATTCCTGTTCTTAAGAGTGCGCCCTTACTTTATCCAGCAGACTGCTCTTCTAAAGAGAGCGGCTCATCTTTATCTGTCTAGCTCGCTGCTAATGCCCCACTGACATTTATGAGAACCAGAGAGAATGAGAGGCCTGTAATTGTAGTTCACACACACACACACACACACATTCAGGGAAAGGGAAGATAAATATACTGGGGAATCAAAAGAGATGGAGGCTGCAAGGAGAAAGCATCGAGTGAACCTTGTTGGTTGGTGTCTGGACGGAGATTATCATTAAATAAATTAGCTTTTTTTTTCCACATATCCAGACAATAAACAGTCTGGGTGGAAGTAAAGACAGAAAGAGATGCATAATAACTTTGCATTCTCTCTGATGCTTTATATCTGTCTGGAACTGTCTAGCATGGCATTTATGCATGTTTGAGGAACACGTGTGGGTTATGAAAGGTTTTGTTTCTCAAACACTACACTACTACATTATTAGGGTCTTGTGATTGATATGTTTATAGATAATAGCTCTGTTCCACAACCTGAGCTGCCTAGGTAGGCAGCATTTTAAGACATCTGGTTTATTCCCAATGCTGTTCCAAAAGGTCAGCAGCAAAATGATGCTCATGCTGACTTCTAAGATACCATCTTGGACACCATCACATGCAGATACGGCAATCTTAGAATGCATTGCTGTAATTAAAGTATAAAATTCACAGACTATAAGCTCTCAGTTTAAAAAAAATACAGTTTTACTGCTAGCTATTTTGTGCTTGTTAGATTATAAATGTTTTTATCTTAGCAACATTCTAACCAGTGTTTGGTAACACATATCAACTAACTAGTCAGTTTGGTGGTTTATGGTTCATAAATGTCCTTCAACCAGTTCCATGTCTTAACATTTTTTTAAATGACCAAAAATTAAATTAATTAAATAAATGCTGTTTTGTAAACGAATGTCACTGAGATTTTTTTTTTATTAGCAACATACTAACATCAGCATTGTGAGTCAAGTCTCTCATGCTCTTCACAAAAGGAGTGATGGATGACACACTAAATTGCTGCTTATATAGGGTGTTTCAAATCAGTCCATTAGAAGGCTGTTTCAGCTAGGATGCTGTCTGTGTGTAGACAACAAGGCAGCACACTAGATTTGAACTGAGCTAATGTGTTGTCTTTCTTCTATTAGCTTCTTTTTACCCAACATTTGTGTATGCATGGTATTTCAGAGCTTAGAGTGTTGAGGTGTTAGCTTAGAAGGTTCCATTTCAGCCAGGATGCTGCTTTAATAGGGGAGCTGCCTATGTAGACATCAAGGCAGCAGCAAGATTTGGAACAGAGCAATTTGTGTACTGTTCTCCTATACTGTGCATGTTTAATTATTTAAACTCTGCCTGGTCCTTGTCTCATCTCTTCGCTTTACTAGCCCGATGGACTTCACTCGCCTTCCTTCCCCCACCCCTGAAAACAAAGACCTCTTCTTCGTCACACGCTCTTCTGGCCTCCAGGGCTCCCCTGCCCGCAGCTCTAGCTACTCCGAGACCAATGAACCCGAGCTGGGCCTGGCCAATGGTGGCAAGAGCCTGTCCATGGTAGACCTGCAGGAAGCGGCCAGGGCGTTAGAACCCGTCGCCATCCCGGCAGGGATCACTTCAGAAGGTTTGGGTGAGGGTGCCATGGTTCCCTGGAATGCACGGACTCCCCAAGGCAACGTTGCCGGAGGCCCTACTCTTCACAGGCCAGGTCAGACTCCCACTACCCCAGGAACAGAAGGGGCCCCAGGCAGGCCTACACAGCTCTTGGCCCCGCTATCCTTTCAGAATCCAGTGTACCAGATGGCAGCAGGTTTGCCCGTGTCAGCTAGAGGGAATGCGAGTGTGGATTCTGGGTCGGAGTGTCACAGCTCCGTCAGTTCCCATAGCAATAACGAGGAGGGTCTTGGAGGAACCAAACACACGTTCCTTACCCAGGGAGCTTTGGTGGGGGAGGAGTTTGCAAGGCGTTCAGGAGATTTCTCGAGACGACAGCTATCACTAACTGATGCGCATCATGGAAACCAACCTACGGTTCCACGACAGATCAGCGCTGGTCCTCAGCGGCGGATTGACCAGCCGCCACCACCCACACAGACTGCACCCAGAGGACGAACTCCACCCAACCTATTGAACTCCAGCCCCTACCCACGGCCTCCTAATAACACTGTGATGTCATCATCAGCTGACTGGCCTGGAAGTGGCGCACGGCTTCGACAGCAGAGCTCCTCCTCTAAAGGGGACAGTCCGGAAATGAAGCATCGCGCACCACATAAACAGGTGCGTATATGTTTATAGAGTTAAAAATAGATACTACACAAATTATTCCACATTTGTTTGTTTGGGAATGTTTAAAGTGACCATGAAATAAAAAGTGACCATTCTTATTTTTCAAAGGAGTATTGCCAGTGTTTATTGTAAAAAATGTATCCATGCACATTTTTTTTTTTTTTTTTT